TATAATGTTGAAAGGCATTTGGAGGTCAGAGGAGCTTTGCTAAAGGAGCTAAATTTTAAGGTCATAAGCCTAAGGCCTTAGGTTCTCCTCGACCCCAGGACCCTATGCTTTTTATTAACACAATTTGTTCTGAGGCGAGGCAGAGATATACACATCAAAGTGTCAGGGTTTCCTATAGAGTCCATTGTCAGAATGGGGGAATTAGCCTATGGCTGTTCAGGTGTTTGGCCAGTAGGAGGCAATAACATGTAGATTAAGATGCCCTTTAGCTGTCTGGCAGCCACAATCAGTTTCCTATTCAGGTTTGGGGAAATGCCTTTAGCCATTCCCAACAGGTGACTCCATGTGTGACTCAACCCTGTTGAGTCCCCAAGTCTCATCAACCTTTTGATGAAACTCTTAAAATTATGACATGCTGGGATTGGTTCCTGGCAAGGAGGGACCGTACCTGGGGTCAGCAGCACAGACTCTAGAGGTAGATCACATGGACTCAATGCCCAGCTCCCCACCTGTACAAATGACTTCTGTGCCTCAATCTCCCCACGTGTAAAATTCTCACCGTACTGTCTTCCTTACAGGGTCACGGGAGAGTCGGTGAGCTAGCACTGAGAGCGAGAGCTTGGCATGCAGCTCGATCCATGTCAGTTCTTGTTACATATGAATGTGTTTCACTCCAGCCTTTGCCTGGAATGTGACTTCTAGTCCCTCACATGGCCGGCTTCTTCTCATCCTCAGGACTAGGTTTAAAGGACAGCCCCCTAGGAAGGTGTGCCAGATCACTCCATTAAACAGCACACACACACACACACACACGCACACGCACACGCGCGCGCCCCCCTCTCCCCCCACTCTCATCACGTTTATCTTTTCCACACTTACTTGTTGTGCTGTCTGCTCTTATCCTAGGATGTGAGCTCCAGGAGGGCAGGCAATTTGTCTACTTTGTTCATTGCTGTGCCCTCTGCTCCCAGCAAAGTGCCAGCACATAGTAAGTGCTCAATAAACGATCATGGAATGAACAAATAAGCCTTGCCACAACTTTGCTTTATTCGTTCCACAAATAGGTACCGAGTACACAGTGGTGAATAAGATGCTCTGGTAAGTCTTGGATTTTAGTAAAATTTTAAAAACCTCTGGGCAGGCTGCCAGGTATGGTTGGGCAATCTGTGCACTGCACAAAGGCACTGGACATGGGGATAAATAGAGGTTGTAACCCAGTCTGCTTGCCAAGCGGTGAGTCCTGGTGTGGAGCTCTCTCAGCCCAGAGGGGCACCTTTGTTAATGCAAAAACCATCTTGGGAAGTGGGTCTTTCACAGAAGATATACTTGCCTAAGGTCACACCCCTCCAAAGGAGGCAGTCAAGATGCAAGGCTGCCTTTTGACTTCTTTGGAGGGTCTCTCCATGGCCACGGGCACAGTATACTGGAGTTGCTCCCGAGCCCCACCTGTCGGAAGGGGAAGTGTTGCTCACAGGAATCTGGGCACATGCTGTCTGGAATCACACTATATGTTGATGGCACAATCTCATGTTTAGTGGATTTGGGGTGCATGCATCTTTTTTAAAAAGTTTTTTTTATTGGTTTCAGAGAGGAAGGAAGAGGGAGAGATAGAAACATTAATGAGAATCATTGGTTAGTTGCCTCCTACATGCCCCCTGCTGGAGATATCAAGTTGGCAACCTGGGCCCTGACCGGGAATTGAACTGTGATGCTCAACCACTGAGCCACAATGGTCAGGCCTCAAGTGCTTGCATCTTTTAAACCAGTGGTTCTCAACCTTGGCTGCACATTAGAATCACCTGGGAATCTTTTTAAAATCCTGATTTCTGGGCCTCATCCTCCGGAAATTCTGTTTCTTTGTTATGGGGTGGGGCCACATTAGCAACAAAGAAACAGAATTTCCAGAGGATGAGGCCCAGAAATCAGGATTTTAAAAGGATTCCCAGGTGATTCTAATGTGCAGCCAAGGTTGAGGACCACTGGTTTAAACCCTCATTTCCCCTGCAGGCCTCTCTATGTCTCCTGTCTCACGCTCACCTTGGGCCTCCCCAACATCTTCTGTGCACGTTCCTTAGCACCCCCTTTCTTAGCGTCACATGAAGACAAGTGATGCTGCAACTGTCCTTTCTCTCGAGTCCTGCCGGACCTTTCGTCCCCCACACCTCAGTCTGCCCCCCTGTAAGATGGAGCTAATCATCTGTGGCTGCTTTAACGTGGGGGCACAGGTGAAGGTGCTTTGAAAAGCAGCAGGTGCTCTGTCAACTGGAGAGAATTATGCTATTTGTTTTCATGAAACTGGAGGCAAGTGGGCCCCATTTCACTCATTCGTTTCTCCCTCCCTTTTCTTCACTGGATTCTACTGTGTGCCCAGCGAATACCGCACCTCTAATTCTTGGGGACTTGGGCCCAATTTCCAGCGTGGCCACCAGGCCTGTGCCACCACACCCCAAAGGTCAGCCCTGGTATGCCAGGCTTGTGGAAGCAGGGAGGGGACTGGGCTGGGCCTCCCACGCCAGCCCAGTTTGGGCAGACTCCACGCCTGGCTGGGTCTCCTACTTGGGAAGCCCTGACTCTTTTGCCCTTTGTCAAATATGAGGTTTTCTGCTTATGAATTCCTTTCCCCAATCTCAAAGAAAAAAAAGGCAGGTCCACAGGGATTGAAGTTGCATACATTTTTTTAATTGAAAGAAGTCAGCCTCCTTAGTATTGCTTTTACAGGTTTATCAAAGTCCAGTATTCAAACCACTCGCATTTTCTAAAAATAATTCTGGCCAGAGGAGCAACACGGCCTCCCCAGGCACGGTGGATCGATCTTGGCAACTTGATGAAGAAGCAACTTGAAATGAATAAGTTGAAGCCGTGCCCTCAGCCCGGACGCCTTCCCCGCCTCTTCTCCTTCGGAGTCATTCCCTGAAACAGTCGCTGCCTCTAAGATCAGCCTGGGCCAAACCCAGTCGGGCTGAGGGCTCCACGGGCAGCAGCCGGAGTTGCCTGTCGTTTCTGTTTGTGTGTCCGCGGTGTGACGTGTCCTCTTGAAGAAAGTTAAGTGTAGGGAGCAGGTGCAGTTGGGGAGAAAGAGCAGGGAGGCATACTCTGGCTGGGTTCCTGTAAACATCCATCGCGGTGCGGAAGGCCAGAAGCCAAGGCAAGGCCATCTGTGCAATGCTGCAGGCGGGAGAGGTCTTCGGACAGGCCCGCCTTCTCCCTTTGGGGAGGGGGACCAATGCCTTCCCGGCCTCGGCACCCAGTCTCAACCTCTCCATCCCCCCGTCCTGGGCCTGGACGGGAGCCTCTCTGTTGGCACAGAACTTTTGAAGGGAGCAGGCCTAACAAGAGAGAGAAAAAGGGTGTTACCAACATGGAAGCACCAACTGCCACCTGTCCTGGATGGGAGCTCTGGACCCTCCACCAGGCCTCAGGAGGCTCCTGGCGGGCCAGGGAAGTCTTCCTTCTATTCCTCGCTCTCAGAGAACCGCCAGAAGCCCCAGACTCAGGCTGGGAGTGTTTCCCGATAACTTATTTAAAACTTCTTTTAATGAATTTGCCCGATTTCTAAGGACCCTGGGCTGAAGAACCAGTGCAATTTCACGTGGGAGAGGAAGACTGTCCGTTATTGGGAAGGAGGGGGGGAATCCTGGTACCTGGGAGAGGGCAGCCCATGCAGTGGTCACCCAGCTGACAAGAGCTCTAGGGCAGCTGAGCAAGCTCTGGGGAGTGGGCAGGGCTTGGCAGCACCTCCCACCTTGCCCATAAATGCTTCACAGCCTACAGGAAGGCTGTGGCCACAGTCAAGGTACTTAGCAGCCCCACTTAGCTCTTTCTCCCAGGACACAGCATCACCCCCCAACAGGCCCCTTGAAGGTCCCCACTCCCCTTGCCCTTCTCCCTGTCCAGCTGGTGCCAGTGTGTCTGCAGTGTCTCATACTCCCATGCCCATCCTCCACCCCAGTTCTGAGTCTCATCTTTGCCAGTTCAGACTATTCCTCCTGCAAACGTCATCCGGCATCATATGAAACTGCTGTTAAACACCCAACACGTCTTGTTCATCAGGGCGCTATTGACATTCGGGGCAGATGATCCTCTGATGTTGGAGGGCTGTTCTGGGCATTGCGGGATGTTAGTAGCATCTCTGGCCTCTGACCAGTAACTGCCAGCAGCATCACCAGGTACAATAACAACAAAAATGCCCCCTTGCTCCATTTCCTAAGACCACCCAAGGGGGCAGAACTGCTTCCACTGAGAACCACGCATCTCCTGCAGGTGGAGGCTGCCAGCAAGCGCTAGGATCACCTCCCAAACAAACAACTTGCACTTGAATCATCATCCCAGGTCTGCTCACAGGAGAGCACACCTGAGATGGAGCCTTACGCAGGTGATTTCATTCCACCCCCCTAACAACCCCAGGAGTTATACACTATTACAATTCCATTTTACAGGGAGACACTAAGAGAGGGTGTAAGGATGCCCACCTATCCAGGGCTTTGTCCCACAGATCTTAAAGACTACCAAACCTTGTACCACCCGCGTGCCAGGTCCTGAGCTGGGGGGTTGGACCCCATGAGGAGTGCAGCTCCTGCCTTTGACACAATATAGTGAACAATTTCAGCCCAAGGTAATATACCTAACAGGAAGATGCATGGAGCTCAGAGTCTGGGAAAGGCTGTGCACAAAAAGCATGTGATAGAGGGCAGGTGATCAGGGCACACAGGCCTTGGAACCTCCTGTAGTTTGGCATGGGGTCGGGGAGGGGTAGAAGGCAGGCCAGTGGGGAGACAAGGCTGGAGAGGGTAGCAGGGGCCAACTTGTTCAAGTTTCTTGTGTTCTCTGCCAGATTCATAGAGGCTGGTTGGGGAGACATCCTTCCACGGCTCAGACCTTCCCCGGCTTCCACTAATGACACTGGTAAGTCTTTGAGTCCTTGGGCCCCAGCCCACCTCCCCACTAGACCTGACAGGTGGGAAGGGGACCTGGGGCCACAGCCAGAGCGTCAGCATCGGAGCTCTTGGCCCTTAGAGAGGTGTTCACAGGCCCCCCCTCCCCAGCCTGCCCGGGGTCCACCTTCTATTGACCTCCCTCCTCCAAGTAGCCCCTGGGGTTCCTATGGGGGTGCTCCTGAGAACCTGGTGTCCATGATCTGGAGCAGGGTTCTTCCTTCAGATTCACCCTCACTGGGCTCACTGCAGCCACCTCCAAGGCAGGCGATCATGCCGAGCCCATTTCAGACTTGGGGGGATGGGGTGTTGGAGAACACAGAACCCCATGGAACAGACCCACTCCTTTCCCAGTACTTGTGACCACAATGAACAGCGTCAAGTCCCAGAGCCTGTCAGGCAGGCTGGAGCACCTCTCTCCTGTGCTAATACAGGGCCTCGCAGGAGCTGACTCGGCAGGAATTCACCAGCTCCTCTGTTTCCATGGTGTTTATCTATAGGGTCATTTTCTATTTACTGCAAGTGATGCCAATTTTCCATTTCTGATAGTAACATAAAGTTCCTCTTTTCCCAGAACATTAATTTCACTTTAAAAATTTAGAGAGCCAGTTTAAAGAAAACAACTACATAAATAATAGTTCAGGCAACAGAACGAAAAGTGCTGAAGGGGTCTTGTGAGGTTTGGGAAGATACTGATCCAAGTTAGTTCCACTCCACAGAGAATGAAGGGGCCCAGAGAGGGTGGTGACCTGCCCTAAGTCACACAGCAAGTCAGGCACAGAGACATCGTCCCAGGCCTCTGTATCCATGGCTGGAAGGTGTCCTGGGACCTCTCATCTGGGCCACCAATCTCCTGCTCCTCTGACTTGCACGTCTGTTCTCACAGCAAAACCCAGAATGAGAACAGCTGACCTTGATCAAGCGCTTTACACTCACCTTGTCCTATCTGCTTTAACTCATGTCTTAACTTATTCCTCAAAACAAGCCTGGGAGGTGGGGCCAAGGAGGACCATCCTTCCTGAATTTCGGATGGGGTCAGAGAGGTTAAGTAAATTGGGCAAGGCCACACAGCCAAGCCAGGATTTGAACCTCCTTGGTATGACCCCCAAGTCTTAATTCCTCTCAGCATCTTTGGTCCATCACTTTCCTCCAAGGCATCAAAAGCCCTAGCTGAGCCCTAGCTAGTGTTGCTCAGTGGTCAGTGTCGGCCCACACACTGAAGGGTCGTGGGTTTGATTCCTGGTCAAAGAAATGTACCTGAGTTTGAGGTTTGCTCCCTGCCCTCCCTCCCCAATCAGGGTGCATGCAGAAGGAACTAATCAATGTCTCTCTCTCTCTCTCTCCCTCCTTCTCTTCCTTTCTCTCTGAAAAGCAATGGAAAAAACATCCTGTTTAGGATTAAAAAAAAAAAGCCGCAGCTGAAAACCATCCCGGGCTGCAGCTGAGAATCTAAGCCAGTGGTTCTCAACCTTCTGGCCCTTTAAATACAGTTCCTCATGTTGTGACCCAACCATAAAATTATTTTCGTTGCTACTTCATAACTGTAATGTTGCTACTGTTATGAATCGTAATGTAAATATCTGATATGCAGGATGGTCTTAGGCGACCCCTATGAAAGGGTCGTTCGACTGCCCAAGGGGTCGCGACCCACAGGTTGAGAACCGCTGATAAGCAATGCCTAACATCATTAGAACATGAGACAATTCATTAGCCATTGGCTGTTTTTCTTTCTTTCTGCAACTGTAACCTCATTCCAGGACACTCCCCAGAGGTGGACAGAGGGCGTGAGTGGCTGACTCGCTTGTCATTAGAATGATAGTTGGGCACTTAATCCATTTTAAGCACCAATATCCCAGCTTGAGGATAGGGCTTAAGTGAGAAAATGGCCTATGTATCTTAAGGGTGCTGGTGGAACGGTGCTCTGGACATACTGAAAAGGGATTTTTTTTTTTTTTTGTAGTTCTGCCCTAACGGGTCATTCGGGCTCTCCCTCCTTAGCTGTGTGACCTCAGGCAGATCACCTAATTTCTCTGGGCCTCTTTCCTCATCTGAAAGGAAGACAACAATGCCTACCTCTTTGGGCTGTTTGTTGAGAGGCTTACATGAAATCCTGTGGGTGGAATGCCTGGCCTACCCAGCACACAGGAGGCAGGGTACGTGCTGGTTCCTCTCCCCCTTGTCCCCACCTGTTCTCAGCTAGAAACACCAGGCAGGGGCCTCCTCAACGCTGGGGCCTTCTGAAAGCAGCTCTCCTCCTCCAAAGACCTTGCCTGTTGGAAACCCATTACTCGTTGCTCTTTGTCCATGTATCAAACAACCAACCAAAGTGATGACGTCACCGAAGAGGTCATCCAAGTACGATTTGCCCCATGTCTCCACTGTGGTCTCTGGGACAGGCTGTGTAGCAGGAGGGCCTCCACCTTGTCTAGTTGACAAGTGTGTGGCCAGAAGGGGACGGGAAAGGAGAAGCTTCCTGGCTGCCTGGCTCATGTCTCTGATGGAAGTCAGCTTCTCAAATGTGGATTCCGGTTCATATGTCAGCTATTGATGCTCATCAGCGTGGGGCTTATGAAGATTCTTTGTCCGCAACGTGTTCCCATTTGGTCCGTGTCCAAGATTCCATGAGGCCTTCTGTAGGGCAGCGTCTGCCCAACACCTTCACGAGTCCTGCCACACCCAACAACCACCTGGACTGCTCTTATTTAGTATTTTCAACCAACACACCTCTTTTTCTTTTATCGTTAATCCTCACCTGAGGACATTTGATTTTTAGAAAGAGTGGGAGGGAGAGGGAAAGACAGAGAGAAACATCGATGTGAGACACCTTGATTGGTTGCCTCCTGCAAACACCCTGACCAGGGCTGGGGAACCTGCAACCAAGGTACGTGCCCTTGACAGGAGTCGAACCCGGGCTGATGCTCCATCCACTGAGCCAAAGCAGCTAGTGCCACAAACCTCTTTTCTTAACTACAAAATTTTAAAAGGAACCTTTATGCCATTATCATGAATAAAAATGGGTACCATTTGTCATAAACATGAGGCAATGCTAAAAGTAAACATCATGGAAATGAAACTATGACGTCTAGCTAGATCCCCCTGGCCTGCAAAGACGAGCCTGGGCCTGGTTTCTCTGGTCCAAAGGGACAAGTAGGAGGTGCCACAGAGGTGGCAGAGCGCCGAGAGGTGGATGGCACTCTGCTTCTGTGTACCTGCTGCCTCCGGGGACGCCTGACAGGCGACCTCACTGGGGAAGCACCAGTAGTGTGGCTGGGAGGCCCACCGTAGCCACCTGATAGCTTGGCACCTGGGGTGAGTCACTGAACCTTCCTAAGCCTCGTGTCCTTCCTGCATAACGAAGTTAACGAGCCCTGCCCTGCCTGCTTCACGGGTGATGATCCGGGAAGCTATGGATGTGGGAGGGGCGGTTATTTTTAACCACCAAGTCCCCTGCCAGGAAGGAATCCCAGGATTCCTGTCCCTTCTGGAGGTAAGGGCCTGGAACCAGCTCCCAGCCACCCCCAGGACTGGGGCAAGGGATGAGGGCTTCGAGGGTATTTATCAGCCTTAGGCTGCTTCAAAGGTTGCCCTCACAGACATACCCTCCTTGGTAACTGGCCCCCAAGAGTAAGAGAGCCAAGGAAAGGGGAAGGCTTTCCGGGCCAAACCCGCCCTGGGTGTGCCATACCATCAACACTGACAGCATCATTTATTAAGAACCGACTATGAGTCCTTCCTTCCCCATCTCATCTGTGCAAAGCCCTGCAGCGGATGCCATCATCCCCAGTTCAGAGAAGGAAACTGAGGCCTGAGGAGGTGAAGTCACTTGTCCAAGGTGTTGGTGGAGCTGGGATTTAAACCCCAATCTGACTGCAAAGTCTCTACGCCACAATTTTAGGGGGGCACATGGAGATGGCCTTAAGTAACACCGAGTCACATGAGGTGAGCAAGCGATTCTTTTTGGTTCTAGATCGACCCTTGATTACTTTGAGGAGAAAGTTCCACCCTGGAGCTGGAGTTATCTTATCACCTGACTGTTGCTAATCTGCCTTTTTAACAAAGAGCAGGTCAGAGGCCCTGTACCTTTAGCTGGCCTTCGTATTTGGCCAGAATTTAATGACTTTGGCACTTCCTGTTCTTTATCCATGCCAACTGATGCTGGTTTTCTCTTTTCAGTGATATAAACGTTCTTTTTAAAAAATTCACATGAAAATATATTTTTTTAAAACAAAGCACTAAAACTAGTAGACTTAATCACAAACTATAAATTATAAAGGGAGAAATAGTAACTTTACGGTGGAAAGAACTGGCAGACACCACCTTAGCCGAGTGATCAAGGTTCACATCACCAGCATGTACCTCCCCTCATCATCATCACCTGTCTCTTGTCTGGGTAACAATCATAACTTGCCACCTGGTGTCCTGTCAGACCAGACCCCTGGCTGGGGGATCTCCCAGGACCTGACTCCATCGTGCCCATGCTCCCCAAAAAGGTTTGGGTTTCTAAGCAGAGCAGTGGTATGCCAGCTTCCTGTGTCTTCTGCTGATAGCACAGGCCACAGATTGGCACGAGGGAGCAAGGCAGGTAGATCAGGAAAGAGTAGTTACAGCACCCAGTCGGGACACTGAAGCCTGAGAAAGCCTGTAATAAGTTGACCACTGGGTCTGGTTACCCTTAGCTCCGAATCTGAGTTCCGCCAGGCACGTGACTGGCAGCTGCATTCTCCAGTCTCTCCATTCCCAGCGCAGTGAGGCTCCTCTCCCTCAGCCCTCCCTGTGTGCCAAGAGAGGGCTGGCAGCACTGTGGGCTTTCATCAAGAATCAGGAGAAATCAATCTGGCTGAGCTGCCTTCACACAAGAACTGCTAGGACACCTAGGCCTCTCCTCAGCTCCCAGGCCAGTGGCCCTTTCTCCTGGGAAGGGAGAGCTCCTGACTCCCTACTCCCCCTGCTCCTGGGCAATGATTAACACTCCAGGGAAACCACAGAGCTGTGGCTCTCCGGGGCTCCAGATCTGGTGGCTTTTGGAAGGCACAGCACAATGGGCAAGGACTCCTGAGGGTCCCAGACCTAGAAGGCAGAGTGAGAAGTCTATCCCAGTAGTCTAGGCCTGGACCTGCCCATCGCTCAGCCAGCCAGTCCTCCGTAGCTCATCAGGGAATCTAAACTACCAGTGGGTATATGTGCAGGTTTATATATTCAAGGGCCTGAGTATACACACTTTCCATTATATCTGTTAATGATAATAGTGTTTAATTTTAATATATCGCAGGAAGGTTGAAGAGCTTTACATAGATCTCATTTGATCTTCACAAGGAAGTCAATTTTCATTATCTCTGCTTCAGAGAAGAGGAATGTGACATACAGGGAGATATGTAGCATGCCCAAAGTCACAATTAGGGTTGGGATTTAAACCCAGGGCATCTGAATCTGGGGTGTTTAACCCTAATACAGCCTCCTTAGTAAGTTCTCCACAAATGTTTGAAGACCCGAATTATGCAGGTACACACATAAAGAGAAAAAAGAAAAAGAGGGAGCAAAAGTGAGTGAATCTTTTCATCTGGAGATCCACCCTCTCCCCCACTGCTTGGCATGCCCCTCGCCCTCAGTCAGTGTTTCATGAGACTGTGTCCACGTGAGAATGAGTGAGAAGAGTAAGATTTGACCACTGCTGTTCCTCTGCTTATGGAAAGGAGCCTGGAGATGGGGTGCCATCAGATCATCTTTAATCTTCCCCAAAGGCTTCTCCTGCTTCTAGCCACCCCTCACCCACCCAAGTCTGGGCTTCTCCAGACCTTGGGGCCAAGACTACCTTGGTTTGGGAGTGGGAGTGGAGAAGAAGGAATAATGTGCGTGACTTCCACCATTTCTCCAGGCACGAGTATATCCCACCGCCCCTGACCTCCTTATTTCCCAGGGTCCAGCTCTGTCACTTTGAAAGCTTTGCAAGGGTGTCCCCGAGACACACGTCCTGTGTTTCTCCTCAAACAGTGTTTGCTAAAAAGTATGTCAAAGCATTTGGGCTTCGGTTTTTGGTTCAGAGTATGCCAATGTTTTCATCTGCAAGGGGAAGTGTTTCTGTTGATGTGCTGAGGAGATAAAATAAGACAGTCTCCTCCAAATTACACTGTCTGAAAGTCAAGCACTTGGCTTGGAGGCGGGGATTCACCTTGGGATCCTGGCGCCTCGCAGAAGAGGAGGCAGGGTTAACATTTGCTGAATGACTGAGTCAGTGAACACACAAAGGGCATGGAATCAGTAGGGATGATCAATACCCAGTATAGGTTTTGAATGGATTCCATAGTTCTACCTTCAAAAGGTGTTCTTGGTCTACTTGTGTTTCTCCATCTTTACTAACCTTGCCTCACCCTAGCCTCAGTCACCTTGGCCAGAGCAACTGAACAGCTCCTAACTGGCTATCCTATTTCCACACTTGCCCCTATAACCCATTTTGCCCACAAGAGCCTAAGCCCATGGTCGGCAAACTGCGGCTCTCGAGCCACATGCGGCTCTTTGGCCCCTTGAGTGAGCCTTAGGAGTACCCTAATTAAGTTAATAACAATGTACCTACCTATATAGTTTAAGTTTAAAAAATTTGGCTCTCAAAAGAAATTTCAATCGTTGTACTGTTGATGTTTGGCTCTGTTGACTAATGAGTTTGCCGACCACTGGCCTAAGCCATCTTTGCAGAATGTGAGGTGGAATTGTGTCATCCCTGCTGGTGGCTTCCCACTGCTCATGGCTGTGGCCTCCAAGTCCCACACAGTCTGGCTACCGCCCACCCTGCTGACCTCTCCTGGGGCTGCTCTCCTGCCACAACAGCCTCCATTTAGTTGTTGGAAGAACCAAGTCTCTCCACCTGACAGCCTTGGCAATGGCAGTGCCCTCTGCCCGGATGGCTCTTCTCCAGGTCTTCATGAGTCTGGCTCCTACCAATTTAGAGCTCAGCTCAAATGTGTCATCTCCTCAGAAGGGCCTCCTATGACACCTCCCTCTGAAGCAGCCCATCTCTATTCTGTGTCACTTACTCGACAGACATTTATTGAGCACCTACTAGATGCTAGGTGCTATTCTAAGTACTGAGGAAACAGCAGTGAACACAATACGGATGTCCATGTCCTTACCTGCCTTCATAGCTCTCAAAAAAATCTGATTATCTTGTTTGGGAACCTGCTTGTCCTTCTCACCAAGTGCCAAGAGGGCTGGGGCTAAGTCTGTCTTATTTACCGTGTTCATCCACCAGGCACAGTAGGTAGATACTCAGTACACATTTGTTCAATAAAAGAACTGATGGATGGATGGATGAATGGAAGGCAGGCAGACTGGGTAGTTATAGAGAGTAGCTCAACGCTTTCTTCAAAAAAAATCTCACTGTTAACCCCTCAGGGAGCTCCTGCCCCCACCATTTCCGGGCAGTAGATTCTGCCCCACCCTAAATCACCTGAGTATGGTCATCTTGGCTTAGGAAGGCCACAGAGGACAGGTGTTAATTCAGCCTGCTTGGGGTGAGTGGCATTAGTGTCTGTTTCCCCAAAGAAGCCCTCACCCAATGCCTCAGTATCCCCTTTCTTTTGCAAGTCAGACTGTGTGCCTAGTGACCCTCCAGCATTGGCCAGCTGAAGGGTTCCAGCCAAGGAGTCCCTACATGCCCTGTGAACCCTCACTGACCCAACTGTCTGCCTGTCTCTCCCATCTAGTCCAGCTGCCGATCTTCCTTTGGTGTGTGTGTGTGTTGTTTTGTTTCTTTTTATTTATCTACCTCTCTTCCTTGATGTGTT